TGAATTGAATTTTTGCGATGTTATGAGATTAACAAAAAAATAAGTTTTATTATTCTAAACAAGTGGTTGCTTTTTAGAAAATATCGTTATACAAATTTTTAGTGCTTTTAACCGAGCCACGAAATTTTTAATTTTTAATAAAGCACCCTTTGCCTGTTCATCATCGATATGCTTGCAAATATTTTTCTAAAGAATAAATTTTTCCTGAAAAAAGATTCGGCGCTTATATTTAAAACAGACACACTTTTGGCGTGGAGTCAACCGATTTGAATAAATTTGACACATTTGGTTGTTCCAGGTTGTTCTAATTATTAGTTTGAGATAATAAAATTTTGGAAATTCTTAAAAATTGCATATTTTATTGGGGTTCAAATTTTAAATTGTTTATAATTTTATTTTACAAATTTCTTTATTTCATAAAAATGCAATAATAAAATCTGCAAATCCAGTAAATTATATTTATATCTCATGAATATTTAAGAGTTTTATATTGTTGTGAAAATGTATATATTTTGAAATAATTATTGTCAAACGAGTTGTTCAAAATTAAACCTTTAGAACAAACAAAATTAATTAAATTAAGAAATGAACTGTCCATAAATGATGAATTAAATACCACTCAATGTATCTGATTATTAATATGGAAAAGTTTAAAATTGATTCTGCTCAGCGCGAAAATGGAAGTGCATACATAGCTGACAATGAGTGATGTGTTAATTAAAAATAGAGACTTGCATCGCAGCTGACTAGAGATGAGGCTGAGAAGAGAAAAATTGTTTACTGCGCATTCACTCAAATTAAACTTGCAGGACTAGGGTTACGGAGGTACTTCTTTCTCTTGGACAACCTGCAGAAGTCGCTATCAGTCAGAGCAACACTATTAATTGAAAATTATTCTCTAATATCGTTTGAAAGACGACCACAGACAGCCGCGGCTATTTTATAAATATATAAATAAGCATAATAAATTATTTTCATCAATAAAATTTAAGCATAATACCAATACCATTAAATAATGAATAATTAGAATAATTTAATGTTGAGCTGGTTAAAGAGGAAAAGTTTTCAGATTTAATTTTATTGACATATTATCCCCACCTGATGGCAGAATCATATTTGAATATTTAAACAATAATTTTTTTTAATATGGAGAAATCAAATTGTGACCATTCAATGATTTGCAAGCCAAATTATTACAGACGTATAGAAATTCCGGCCTATAAAGTTTAAGCACAAGTAATGGTGCTGATAGTGTAAATAAAAAAAAAATTATAATCAGTCATTCTGGTATAAAGCTCCTCGCGTGCGTATGTCAATTTTGAGATAAAGCGCGCTTACTTATACTGTGCCTCACGGGTCGCAAACGTTTCAAAATAATAATAATTACACTAAATAAAAATTGCAAAAGTTGTGAACGGCGCAAATCCAGCAATCAACTTTCACAACAAATCGCCAGTTGTCTACCTGGAGGCACTCGGGTGGATACAAAGGGTTGAGGATGGGGACGGAGGGCAAGTTTTGGGCCAACCACGCGGCTCTGCTTGCAATGCTTTTTCTAATTAGAAAAAGATCACCTGCAAACTATTTCCCGGGAGAAAGGAATTGTTTTATTTTTATAGAAATTGTTCTATTCCTTGCACAAATATGATATTGAAACGATTCAATAGGAAATTGAATATATTAGATTTAAAATCCACATTTAGCATTTAATATTTAAATTAAACATTGTTTGGCGCATCGGAAATTTGTAATACAGGTTTTCTGATCAATTTTTTTTTATGACTTTTAACTATATGATTAATGCAAATTGCTGTTTTCCGACAAATAACGTTAACTTTTTTTCATTTTTCCCATTTCATTTCATTTTTTTTCTACTTGAGTATAGAATAAATAATCATAATGTTTGTAAAAAATCTTATTATTCTGGTTCAAATATTATTGATTAATTATTTCTCTGGTAGAAACTATAATTTAATTAGTTCTGTAAGGTTGAAATATAGTGATAAATTCCTCTCACAGAATTGGAGCTTTGGAAAAAATTTAAATTAATGCTGTTGCTTACATATTATTGTTTTCTTTCGAGAAATGAAGTTAAATTCACGTCATTTATCATTACATAAAATAAAATAAAATAGAGCAAAATAGGCCAAATGAGAAAATAAGAAGTGTTGACAAACTTTTCTTACACATTGCTGAGCAGGGGCTGCTGGAGTTGGCATGTTTCGGGGCGGCCGGCGGGCCGCGCGCTGACGTCGCAGCTGCTCAGGGGCGCCTCGGAAGGGCTCAGGATGGCCGGTGGGACGTTGATGCGTGTATTTGGCGCGCGTAGATGAAGTGGGCAAACTTAGCAAATCTCGCAGTCAAAACCTGCGACACGAGAGCCGAAGCCGAGTCAAAATTCACAAGTCAGGCTGGAACGAAAGTGTCCAGAGATTGAGCCTGACTTACTCGAGAAATGCGCGCACAAATCAAATAACAATTTTCCCGATCGAAGTGAACTCCGGGGCTGCTTGGAGCAAAGTGAAACTTCCTTATTTTCAGTACTAAAATCTCTGCACAGAAACGGTCTGCAAGCGAGGCTAGTTTCTATTTCATTTGATTGGCCGCAGTCCTCAGAAGGGTGGGTTTTACTGTCTTTGGGCTACATGCATTTCCTTTCCTGAGTAAAATGCAGGTACATGAAAAACATCTCCCGCCGAGCAAAAATCCATTCTTTTGATATTATTTACAAGGCGGTCGTAAAAGAGAAATCTGGCGAAGGCCAGTCCGCGAACATGTGCACAAATATGCACTCTTTTCTATCTATTTTCTCTGCCTGTGTACACAGCGGATTATGAGAGGGAGCGCGAGAGCGTTGGCCGTGCTCTATTGTCCAGCGTCTCCTCTCAGGTACCTGCTGCTGCCTCAGGTATACGGCCTTGCCAGCACTGCGCCCTGCGGTCGTCCCATCTCTCAGCGATTCTCCTCTCTCATAAATGCTCATATTGATCATTGCTTTTTATTCAATTACTGACTTAACAAATATTTTTAGTTATTGTTTATTTAAAATTACTTCGCTCTGATTAAATCATGATAATATTGTACAGAAAACCTCATTTTTGCAGCATTTTTGCTTTTATAACTTTTTTCGTTGTGGATTTTGGAGAAAATTTAAGTGTGCAAAATTAAATTCCCTGCAAGTTTAGAATGTAAAATTATTAAGTCGTTTTCGTTTTTAAGCTACAATTATCCAAATTAAAGTGATTAATGATTTAAAATCGAGAAATTCTTATTTAAGATTGTTATATTTTAATTGATTGATTTATTTTCATTTAAATAAACAAATAAAAATGTAAAAATAGCTGAGACTTATCGGGGGACGCAGAAAAGTGAAGTGAAAAGCATAATTGCAGGGATGATGATGTTTATTTTGGTTATTCTCTCACGCCATCAGCATCGGCGAGCGCAGATAAATAATGATTTTTGTCGGTGCCGCGCACCCCTCCAAGTGCACGTACAAAGGGTGCAGGCAGGGCGGGGTTCACGCTCGTCATGACTGCACTGCAGCGCCACAATAGAGAGCGAATTATTTATTGGCAGAGAGAGAGAGAGACGAAAAAGAGCAGCCGAATTAATAGGGAGCGCGTGCCGCCGCCGCCGCCGCCAAACAAAATACGAGAAATTAATGGCTCGACACAATTCCGCATTAATTTTAATTCAGCGCGCGCGGCCACGTGGCCCGACTCGAGTTTTGAAAAGAGCTTTATGGGACCAGCGAACGAATCAATTTCGTTCTGCCACTCGCAAAATATATAATAAGGCCGCCGTTATTTACTGCTGCGCGACGAAAATATAAAGAGAAAGGGGGTGCGAACAGGTAGGCGATTTATGCGCGACGCTTCGCAGGAAATTTGTGCGCCCAAACACAATTCACATCCAATGCCAAATTTTTTTTTTAGATAAAATTGATTAAATTTTCTTTCAAATAAGTTTTTTATTCAGGTGAGGCACCTTGATATTAAAGGTATTAATTTCAAGAGTTAGCTGAATTTTGACGTTGGAACGGTCTAATTTCCGTCAAAACTTAAGCTTCAATTTTAACAGAGGGTCCTTCATTTAAAAATTACGACATTAATATGAAAATAAGAGAACAATTCGAAAATCGGTACACACAGTAGCCAAAATATTTTATATAATTTCCCCCCCCCCCCTTTTTTAGGAACTTTTCTGGTTGGAAAATTAAAAAATGCTAATTCATTGAGATAAATTAGCTTATTTGCAAATTTAAGCCGTAAAAAAATGGGAAAATTCAATTGTTGATGGAAACAAACAGGAAGAATTTTTACGTCCTGCGCTGCAATTTTCTGTGTAAGCACTAACTTTTTTTGCAAAATATGTTTTTTTATGTTTTTTAGTCTTGAAAATCAAGGAGGACAAATGGTGAAAATGATTAACACTGTCTTGGTGGAATATATCGGAATATATTAAACTAAATTCAATTTATAAGGAAATTGACAATGACCTCGGTTTTGCCGCGCTACTCTTGTTAACGCAGTGTTTGCCTTTCAACTGCCAAAATATCAGGTTCTCACACCTGCTGAGTGGGCGCAAAGTCAGGTATAAAGCCGAACATTTTCTACGCTCCATTTCATACAACATTCTTTGCAACTGAGCTCCACGGCTTCTTAATTAATTGAATTTATGTGAAGAGAAAAACCACGGGAAAAACATATCTGTACATTTATGCTTAAAAATTCATGAATTGAAAGTTCGCAAGTTGAATTTAGTGACTTTGCTTATTTCTACTTGTTTATAAATTTTTGTGACTTAAAATTTATCTTCGAGAATGAATTGGTGCAAATTTAACCTATTTTATAGTTTGCAATGCATAAATAGAGAATTGAGAATTGTGCTAAAAAAGTTGAATGAAATAATTAATTCCTTCCTTATATTCAGATTTCTCTCATTTCTATTTTGGAAGTCATTCAATGGTTTTTTAGGTTTGATAAAAATTCAGTGTATTTCAGCAAAATATGCTCTAAATTTTTATTTGAACTTCCAAAATGGTATCCGTGCGTCTTGATCAGAATAAAAAATCGGGAGTCAGCGATGATTTAGGCAAATGTCGTTCATCAGGTTGGATCAGATCAGACAGGGTCCAGCACCAGGGTTGGTTTCCGGGCCCTGTCTTCAGCTCTACAATCTCAGCTTAACCAAGGTACGGGTAGGCACCATAGGCTTGTTGGGAGCCCAGACCGCTGTAGGCCAGGGGAGAAGCGGCGACGTACGGGCTGGCGCCGATCAATCCTGTGCGACCTGAGCGGATAGTGCCGTAGCCATAGGCGGGGTACCGGATGTACTGATAAGGATAAGCAGCAGCCACGGCCACAAGGGCAAGCACGAGGATCATCTGAGGAATAAATCGGCACAATTGTAAATACAAAAAGTATCAAAATATTGAGAAAAAATTTCAAAGCATCAGGAAAAAATGAGAAAAAAAAGTGTAATTAATTCAACATTGATTCTAAACAATAATTGGGAAAATAATTTTTTATCCAACAAGGATTTTAAAAATAAGATTGAAACTTAATCACTTAATCGATTTGATGCGGTTTTAGAGAATAATTTGAAATTCAAGACTGTTCGAATTCTATACTTACGAGCTTGTACATGGTTGAGTGAGGTTTGTTGAGCTGTCTGTGGCAAAGACTGATACTTTGGCCAAGTCCTCGGGTCCTTTTATAGTAAAATACCTGTTGGAAGCGCAAAGCAAGGCTAACCGGGTGTCCGGGCCGGTGGTTTCAGGTACGCACTAAGCGCTCCCCTCCCAGCTCACCCGGCAGCGAATCTTCCTCCTACAACCTACCGCAGGTCGATCGGTCAACCTTGGACCAATGTCAAAGTTGCCGCTGCCTCCTTTCTCTATTTTAGTAAGTCATAGACTTATAGTTGGAAGATATAAAATAGCAAATTTAGTGGCGCGCAACGAAAAATTGACTCCTTCCTCATTCCTTGAGAAATCACCTCGACTCATTTAAGTTGGTAATCAATCAAGTTTTATTTTATTTTTATATTTTTTTGCAGGCTCAGGCCAAGACAATGTCTTGTAGACCTGTATCTGTGCCTTTTAATAGTGGTGCGGAAGGCATTTTTTTTTTGTTATTCAAATTTAATAAAAATATCATCAATTTTTTCTAGCAAATCCTAAATAAATTAGGGGGTGCAACATTGATATATAATTTAATATTTATTTTAATGGATTTTTTAAATTATGCAGACTCAGAGCAAAAAGACGCTTTTTCTAAATTAAAGTGGATAAATGCGAGTGAAATTTGTTTTGCCGCTCGAGATGAAAGGACAGAGAGTATAATTGGTGCAAGCAAACGTAATAGAATAAAGAGAGGAAGTTCTATTGCTAGATTTGAATTCGGCTGGGAAGAAAGAAAGAAGCGCGCAGGCAGGCCGGGCAGGGGCTTTTGCAACCCTCGCTCGCTTCTTCTTGCCTTTCTCTTTTGCTCGGCGCCGTTTCCGGGCCGCGCTACAAAGCAACTTCCGGCACTGCGCCTCGCATCGCACACGCGGCCTCACCCACCCACCCACCAACCCACCCACCAGCCAGCGCACCCCCAACTAGGAAAACCAAAAGCGGGCCTTGATCCCTTATTCCAAAAAAGTGACCAGCTTTTTCTCCTACGAAGAGGTGAAAAAAAATAGAACTTTGGAATATAAATTGAATTAAAATTTCAACTGAAATATCCTGCCGGATAAAAGAGAAAATTAATAAATATTTTTATTTGCAAATGGAAAGCAATCAGGATTTAAAATTTTAATCCATCGACTACTTTGTGCGCTGATTCTCAAAGCATCAAATGACCCCACCCAATTTTATGAAGAAAAAATTATTATTTAAATAAGCCAAAACAAAATATTGTAAAATTTATATTTATTTTTTTAGAAAACCACACAAAAATATATCAAGTATAAATTTGACAAAATTTGTAAATTTTTTAAGGAAAAATTTATCCCAGTTAGAAATTTCCTGCGTTTTTAGTGGATTTGAATGGATAAAAATTAAATTTAAAATAAAAAAAGTGCAAATAATTTCTTCTTCTTTTCTTCTGGAAACCAACTAAAATTAATTGCAATTCTGTGCGATCAACAAACGCATTGGAATGTTTTGGAATCGTAAATTGCAGAGTGACAACAACAAAGAGCAGAGACTTCACCCCACAAGTTGAATGCATTATCTGTGTAAGCTGGGTGGGGGGAGGGAAAGGGTTGGTCGGCACCTATTTGGTATTCATGGCAGTTGATGGCGGTATAATGAAGTCAAAGACGAGATAACGCGCGGCTGCAATAAGGGAAGTCTCGTGTGTTTAACATGGGGCGATAACGAGAGACATGAAAAACACGCGGCAACACAACACACGCCGCCTACAAATTCACATGCGGCGAAAATAATACGCAAATCCTCTCGACCGCCTTTCAGCTGTTTGTTTATTTTCTCACCACTTGTACATAAAGGTGGGATATATTTCTATAAAACCACAACAACTAAATTTATTTTTACCACCCTATAGGTTTGGTTTTTTACTTTGGAGGGGAAACTTTGAAAAAAGGCTATTTGACAATTTTTTCTTTTAATAATCCACCCTGTTAATTAAATTGCGGAAACAGAGTTGTTAAATTATTCATAGCGCCAAGCTAAAAATTAAAAATTATTATCATGTGTGAAACTGAAAATTCTAATTCAGCTTTCTTCAAAATTTTGAGAATTTTAGATCAAATATTTTTTTTTCTTACTGGAATTTCCAAAAGCTCATAATTTTTGCATACTTTTGAAGCTCATTCCAAGTATTTTATTTATCAATAAAAGGCACACCAGAAATAGCCATTTTTTCTGGCTGTGTTTTTAAGTTATCAAGTCCCAGGAAGGTTTGTTGGCACAGCCTTTCTCTTGATAAAATGTTAAACAATTCAAGCAAATAAACTTTAATCACTATTTTTCACCTATTTATTTTAATTTAAAAAAAATCACATTATGGATACTTTTAATAAAAAAAATCTTACAACCCTTTTTTAATCCGAGATCCAATCTCCTTGAGCACATTGATTTCACAGAGGTTGAGAGCAGCACAAATATGATAACCATAAAATAAATCAGATTTTAAAACTGAAATTTTTATATTAATATGATGTGCCTATTCATTAAAAAAATCATTGGTTTGCCAGTTTCACATCGCAAATAAGTAAGGCGAAGCTCAGCAAAATCTGTGGGAGATGCAAATGGGTAGGCAACCCGCGGAGCGCGGCAGCACTTTTCAGCAGCGACGAATCAAACCACTTCGCATCAATAGAGAAATCTGGAATTGAATCCTAAAATAATCGGCAACTGCTTTTGCATTAATTTACGAACAAAATTAAAACCATAATCTTTTAATATATTATGGGTCTTGACTGGTCTCGGTGCGCGGTGGGTCTTGGTGGGTTTTAGGTCCAACAAGGGCAACCTAAATCACTATATTTATAAATTGTAAAAAAATCTACAGGTATTGAAGATGATTTTCGTGAAGTTTATTACTTATATACGCCATTTCTTGGAAACTTATGCAATGTGATAAAATGTTCAATATTCACTTTTGAATTTTCTTCAGAAAAATATACAAAATAACTTTGATTTCTTAATGCAAGCCACTGAAAATTTCAGACAAAAGAGAGTTCGGACACTTCGGCGAGACAAATGCTCTGCGCCAGCACCTCTCGGATTTCCTTTTCGCAGCTTTCCAAACTGTCGAGGGCACTTTTGGCCTCTTTGCTGGGGTTGATTTGCGCCGTGACCACGAATTCCTCCAGCACCCCCAGAATGTTGCAAAGGTCGGCCGAGCTGAATTCGCTCACCGAGTCTTTGGCCGCCTGACCAGCCTTCTTCAAAAGAACAGGCACAAAACTGCAAAATAATAATTATTTAAACTTGAATACAAAAAATTTGATTCAACTGACTATGGAGGGGCGAATCCAGAGGTGAGTAGGTCTATCAAAATGGCTACGGCCTCCTTGCGGCTGCCCTGCTGGTACTTGCTCAGGTACTCGTTGTACTTGACTGAAATTTAAAAAGTGAAAATCTACTTTTTACTCTATTTGCAATCAGACCTAAGAAAACGAGGTATCCGCTGGAAATGATGCTGGTGCCGAGGTCAGTGAGAATGTCTGCAACGGAGAACTGGTCGTCCTTGGCCATTTGCCTGAGGATTAATTCAGCCACGCTTGAGGACAGTCCGTGGTTCTCGGCCCTGATGGCCCACATGAGGGCGCTGCCGAGCCGACGCTGCCCCACATGTTGTCTGCTAACCACGGTGCAGATCACTTGCTCTGAATTTGAACTTTTTAGATCAAAAAGGAAAACAAAGAATAAAAAGCACACCTGCCGAGGCAAAATTTCTCTTTCTTGATTCCTGCAGCAGGATTTCGGCGTTGGCTTCAGAGTCTGGTTTGCGCGAGAGTAGAATTAATTCAGCCTGGCCCACACCCTGAGGGCCTGCCAGGTCCAGGTAAGACAGCCCTGTCCGCCAAAGGCTATCGTTTGACGCCAATAAACACCCGAACTGCAGGATCAAGTCCTGTCTCAGATTCTCGGCAACCCTGCTAGCAAAAATTTCATCAAAATTTTAAAAGTTTTTTTTAATCCAACAAGATTAACTTTTTCAGAAACTTTAGGATTGAGCAGTTAAGTTGAAATCAGGATCTCTACCTCGGATTTTTGTATTTTCTTAAATAATTTTAAGACAATCTGTAGCCTACGGAATGAAAATTTCTGGCCCGCACGTGATTCTGATTTTGGGGGAATAAATTTCGAAATTTGTGAATTTGATTCAACAAATTTGCTTTCATTAACTAGATTTACAATTACATACTTCCTAAATTCTTCTACTTTTATCAAAATAATCTATCCAGAACTCAATTTAATTTTTTTTTTTTAAAGGTACTTGTCTGTCCTTTCTATCTTTTAAAAATTCCAATAATTAATTAATAATTAATTAAATAGAACTGACTTGTAATCCTGGCTGACCAAATTAGAAAGCCGACCAGCATGGAAGAGCAGGTCTGTGAGGTGCAAGGCGGCCCAGCCTGACTCGGCAAACTCCTGCAGGTTCTCGATGACCTGTGTCAAAACGAAATTTTAAAATCAGTTTTTCATATGCAAATTAGGCCGAACCTGGTAGAGGTCGCAGTCGCAGAGGGAGAGGAGGATTTTGTCGAGAGCGCGGCTCTCGTGGGCCTCGAACATGTTCATGCACATGCGTGCGTGGTCGCCGAGCTGGTAGGGCAGCACGCTGGGCTGCCAGTAGGTGAGGTAGCACACCAGGAACTTGTACCACGTCTCGCTCTGCTCGTAGACCAGCTTGAAGGCCTTGTTGTCCCCGGCAAGCAGCTCGGCCAGCTGCAGGCACTGCACATTGCTGCCAAACACGCCGCTCGTGATCTGCTCGAGGACCTCCTTGCGCCACGCCTCCCATTGGACGGTGAAGTTTATCACTGCGGAAGTGCCCGAACTCGACTGAAATTAACAAAAATTAATAATAATAATCAAAAGTTCTTTCTTCTAAATAGTGGGAAAATTAACCTCAAAATTTACTCTTTCAACGGTTTGTCTTGAAACAAGGGAAAAATTAAAAAAATATCAACAAGTTTTAATGGAAAAATGAGGTCAAGAGGTATCGACTAGCAGCCAAAATGGTTAAGGTCACCTAAAGATTTGTTGAAAAAAATTCCATTTCAGGATTAAAATTGGTTTGATACCTTCCCCCACCACTTCATTTGAACTATACATTATGTGTGGAAAATTTTTTGAAAGGTCATCGAGTTGTGACCAAAAAAGGTGAACAACTTTTTGAGAGAAATTCAATTTGAAGCATAAAAAATTAATTTGAAACACTCATATTATTCTTCCCACTCCACTGTTAATCAGTTTAAAAGTTTGAAGGTCACCTTGAGGTCAGGTTTTGAGTGGAGGAGCGTCCTGAGCGCCCTGACAGCCGGGGTTTCCTTCTTGGAGTGCTGACCTAGCAATTGGCGCGCCTCCCTGACCTGGCCGAGCACCACAAGACCGGTGACCGCAGACCAAAAGTCAGGATGGCACTCGATGGGCGTTTTCTCGTCCCTGCCCCTGAGCACCTTCTCCGCCAACTCGATGCTCTCGGGGAAATGGTAGCGCATCCACTCCTGCAGCTTCGGAAGCAAGTTCGAGTCTGAAAAAAAAAATACTCTTTGTAAAAAAATGTGATTTCCTTTTTAATTTAAAACTCACCCTGGCCCTTGTCAATGTTGAGGATTTCGGCCAGGTGGAAAATGAGCTCGACACTGTAGAAAAGGGCGCTCAGGTTTTGCGTGTGCTCCCTGTCAGCACCCTGACTCTCCTGCAATTCCAGGGTGCAGTCTCTCAGGAAGAGCCTGTTTGAATGACAAGGAAATGAAAATAAATTCAATAGTTTAAATTAATATTAACCTGTAAGCCCTGCTGGCGTGCACGAGGGACAGCTCGGAAGGGTCGACGTCGAAGATTTGGTAGCCATGGTCGAAGGTGGTGTCCGCGGTGTGGTTTTCGTGCAGGTCGTAGCTCTGCAGGATGGAAAAGACGGCGTGCGAATTGTTCAGCAGAGTTCGCACCGCCGGTTGTTCGAAAAGGGCCGAGTCCTCGCGCACCAACGTCACCTTCTCGCCGCCCTCGCTGAAGGGTGCCGGCGACGAACCAGGGTCGAGATCACCTTCAGGTCGCGGCACCCGCGTTCGGTGGCACGACAGCCGGCCCAGGCCCACAAACCTGCCCACCGTGCGACTCCGCACCTTCGACATTTCCACACCTGAAAAATTAGAGGGAAAATTGGTGAATTTAGCCGGTTGGTAATTTCTTCGTTTATCAGCTATTTCGAGAGAATTTACTAACAGAATTGGAAGAATGATCAAAGGACGTGCACTTTTTGTCTGGAGTTTCTTCAATATCTTCGTGTTTTATTCAAAATTTACAAAAATTCGGCCACAATTCGACGGACGGGCTAAATTTTTGAGCCGCTAAATTTTGTTATGTTGTTGGTGGTGCCACCTATGGGCAGGTTTTGAAGCTTCATGGCCTGACCGTAAAAGGCGCGCCAAAATCATGCCTTCTTGCCAATCGCAGCACGTTATTAATCATGTTAATGAAGCCAATTAGGGCTTGATATGGGATTAAATTAATTATTCATGTACTTCATGATCACTTTGCATAGCAGTATTAACTAAATGACAATCCTATGTCCCCAAACTTAATCAATTTCAAATCTAATCCCAAATTTCAATGTATAAGAACCGCCTCAACAACAACAAAAGGAAAAAGGAACTGAAGAAGGGACGAAGATTCTAATTGAAAAAAAGGAACGAAGATATTATGTAAAATCCCTTTTATGCATATATCTTTTATGGAGATTTGCGTGGACTGGAGTGACCGTAATAAAAGGTCATTTATTCATTTCATTCTCTCAACTCTCAATTGAAGTTAAGCTTCCGTTTTCTTCCAACAGGTGGCGGTTGCGAGGCCTTTCCCGATCACAGCGAGTGCAGAAGCACTTTTGGCCGTATTTGTTTTGTGTTTTCATTGCAAAAAAGAGGCTGGCGAGGAACTTCTAGCTTTTGTGCGTGGACCGACGATCGAAGCAGACCAGAATAAGACGGACGCACCTAGGAAGACCAGTGACATGTCGCGTTGACGACGTTCGCACGCCGCTGCAGGTACGTCGACTTAATTCGGCCCGACCGCAATTTATTGCAAAACAATTCGTCGCTGCAGAGACTTTGCGAAACGAATGGGGAGGGCATTCGCACGCACACGGGGGGCACACGCACGCAAGCAAACTTTCTATGGCGGAATTCGATCGAACCATATTCGCCGAGAGCTGCATTTATTACAAATTTCAAACAATTATAAAAAATTTCAAGTGAAAAAGGAAAGATTCAAGTTTTACCAACCGGCCATTGCGAAAATTTCCGGAAATAATGAGCGGCTTGGCTTCATTTTCGAGATTGATTACATTTTCCCTCCGGCAACTAATTTGCATAAAAATTTGTTGCGTAATAAATTTATTTATCGCACAATCATCTTTGTTCGAAATTTTTAAATTTACATTTGCCGAAAAAGCTAGGAAGCGCGAGTGTTGGAAATTGGAAGGTCCTTTTGCGATTAATGGGTTTGGCCTTCGAGAAATTTCGGTCCCTTCTAAAAGCAGCGAATAATTCTTCTTTTTCCGAACTCAAATTCGAGTTGATTATTCTTCCATTGTTGGGCTGAGTTTTGTTGAGTGGTCGGCGTGTCGCGCACTCCACTTTGCTGACTCATCTGCGGGCGACCCTTAAGGAGAGATGACCGTCGTTTCGATCAAACAAGGCACGTCCGATCCGACGACAATTGCAAGCAAGGACGACCGGTACATACGAGCGAATCGAACCGCCACGTTTTCCTCCTTGCACTTTTCTGCCAGCAAATAACAATTATAATCATAATTAAGCGCATTTTTTTCCCATTTTTTAAAAATTAAAGAAATAATAATCATAATAATTTATATATTATTAATGACTCTCCTTATCCGTATAGTTAAATCAAGCGATTTTAATTTACAAACCATTGAAAAATATACAATATTTCGTATTGTCATTTTTAACCTTGCCAGTTTTTAAAGAAATTCCTTCGCTTTGCAGAGAGAGAAATACAGTCTTTATTCTTCGTTTCCTTGTGGTCTCTACCGCAGCTGCACACAAAGGAAATTAAATTTTATTTAAAAAGATTACAAATACATTTTTATTTATTATTAATTATTTTTTATTCGTGCCCTTGAAGCTTAAATTCAATTTTCCAATTTAATTGATTGGATTTTTTAAACCCCTTTTTTAACCAGAATTCTTTTTGTTGTCAAACAATTCAGATTTTATATGTAAGATAATAATAATTTATTATTAGTAGGACGAACAAATTAACAACAATGACAATGGAGTTCGTTGACCCGAGCCTCGTCCTGCACCAACGCTGAGGTAACTTTAAAGTTTTCTCGGCGCGCTCATTGACGATTCGTCAGTGGCAGACACGGCGCTCGCGGTCCTTGGCCAGATGTGGGTCGTATCTTATTAAGACACACACAAGCTACTTTCACTATGCGTGCACCGACTCTGCCAGGTTGTTGAACCGCCCCGACCCCTTTTCGCGCATTCCCCACTCGAATGGCCGTCTGGACGCACCAAATTAAAATGTTCAGCTGAAAACTATTTGGAATGTTAATTTGTTACGAGCAAAATAATTATCGTCCCAAAATAATTTACTAATAGCTTACAAAGTTTCAAACTTTGACTTTGAAATATGACCTTGCCCTGTGACTTTAGCATCATCAGCAAAGATAGTTCAAATTGGAAAAAAAATTGAAATAAAAATCAAGAAATCAAAAAGAAAATTTCTTACCCGAGTTTGTGGGTAACGCCCACTTTTTTTGGTCTTTAAATTCATCCCAATTATTTTTGCGGTTTAAAACAAAACCTCTGTTTTCATATTTTAATATATAAAAAATATAAAATAACATAAAATAATAGAGTTAATTAATCAGTGCAAAATAACTTAAAATTTTAAAGACATTTCCATTTCGGGAAATTGTTTGTTAATCTCATTGTCGGTAAATTAAATTTGTTTCTTTTGTATTAAATGCAAAGTAAATTTGGAGTTGGAAAAGTGATTCGCCCTGAAGCGATTACGGAGGGTGATTCTGCAAATCAAGAAAAGAATGTTCGGCTGCTTAAGCGGCGGTCAGTGACTCGCTGCACTTCTGGGTCAGGCCGACCGATCGATGGATCCCCTCCTCCTCCTCCCCTTTCCCTCGTTCTGCACAAACACGCAACTTTCGTCCATTGCATTAAATCCGAGCAGTGGTTGCACCGGAAGCCGCGCAGATAAAGTTTTATCAAAGTTTGTCGTCTTGGGTTGCTCCGCAGCCGAGAGAGCGGAAATTGCAAGGGCAAAAAAGATCATTCATACCCCTCTTTGTTTTCGATTAAATAATTTAATTTAATGATCAAACTTTAAATAACACAGTTGGCCAACCTGGAAAAATTGGCAGCAGCTAATATGAGTGCGGGGGCGGGGTTTACTTTTTCCAATCACAGCTCGATCCCTGCAACTTTCTGCTTTTATTGCAAGAAAATGGAAATTTTGCAAATCAATCGATTTTTTGCGACTTTTTTATTTAATGCTTTTAAGAATTTGACTAATGTTCTATACTTGCTAAAAAAAAAAACAGACAGATTAATTTCTGGTGACTTTCTATACATTTTTGTTAAGCAAATTTTGATTTGTCAGAAAATGAACCGGAAAAACTTAATTTTTTTATGAAATATTGTAACATTTTATTGGAATTTTCAAGACCCTTTTTTCACATTATTCTAATTAAAATTGAATTATAAATTTCACCCATGTAAGTTCAAATCACTGAGATTAAGTTAATTAAATTAAATCGGTAGCTTCAACTCCAAATTTTCATTCAAAGAAAGCAAACTCCATAAACATTTATCTTAATTCTTTTCATTCTGCGTCGTTAAATGCATTTTTTTTATTATTATAAAAAAGCACAAATTTAATAAACTGAATGAAAAAAATTAGCTTTGTTTTGAAAAAAATTATGGAAAAATTGCATGTTTTTGAATGTTGGGGTGTGTCTGGTCCGGTGGCCCACATTGCGCGGGGTGGTAAACAGAAGAGCGTGCGACGAAACGAGCCCCTCGATTGCTGCTTGGGGGCGCACGACGCGCACGCCCGACCGACCGACCGTCACCCCCTATTGATCGCGGCGGCGGCGGCGGCTCGCGGTGCCCAACCCCAGTCTAGGTCGCACCCTCCAAGGTAAGAGCCGCGCGCCGCGCCTTCGTGGGATAGGTAAGGACTCGCCAACTCTGCTCGCCGCCACAAAACTGCAGCTTTTCCTTTCCTTCGGGCCTCGGACCGCAATTGGGCGGTGACGGGGGCGCGATCTGCCCCCGCACCACCGGCAGAAAGAAAATATCCGTCGTCCCTCCTAGAAACTTGTTTTGTGAATCGGCCATGTTCACTTTTTGCAGCTTAGTCCTCCACAATAACGGGGCCAAATCAATTGTGCAAAATTTTATTTCAATTTAGCAATGATTACGAGAAATTGAATGAATTGGGAAAATTTTTGAAAAATTAACAAGTTACGGGAATTTTCTGGAATACTTTATTTATTTATTTATTATTATTTATTCTTCTCGGTCTGTACAAAAATTTTTGAAAATAAGCGAGACCAATATTAACTTAAATTTTTTGGCTCAAAAATTTAAACTCGAGGGAAAAGTATTTCAAACGAAAGGATTTTTCCATTGATGAATTAATTTTTTAATTTATTTATTTTTTATTTTTAATATACCTCGATATCTTTGTTAAACTGAACCAAACTTAAAGGACAGAGTTTTTGAGTTCCAGAAAAAAATTCAATTCAGCGTTAAGAAGGCGTTCTTCATTGCAATGGTAATGTTCACTAAAAATTAGAAGAAGAAAAAGAAATTTTTTTTTTAATCAGTGCTGTTGAAGAATTTTCCAATATTTCTGTTAATAATTTGTTATATTCTAAGATTGTGAGGGTTTTATTTTCTTAATTTTTGTTATTTAATTGATTCCGAGTGAGCTAATACGGATGAGTGCAATCATTCAATTATACACAAGATTCGAAGCTTTACAACAGTTTAATGCAGCGGGAAACCTGTATAAAATCAGTCAATGAAGACGTATCGCGAATCAAAACAAACTTTTATAATTCCCTTTTGCGTGTAAATGACGAGAAAGTTGCGGAAAGTTGATATTAAAGTGACACATGCGGCGAAACGTGAAGAGCCCTTTGAAATGCTGGCCGATGTGGGAAAAAATCGGGGCGCGAATGCAAATACGCGCAGGGCAGGGATAGGCCAATCCCGGCCACGTTAAGACGCAATTTGGCAACACGCGATTGCCAGAATGTTCCACCCCGATTCGAGTCTGGGAGGGTCTTTTGCCGTATTCGGTGACAAACATATAATTTTCGAAGGAGCGCTTTCGGATTGACCAACCTTGACCCACTTTTTCAAGTCTTTTGTTATATTTTGAATTTCTGCGCATTCAAAACTATTTTCTTTTGAGTCGGGCCAAGACAATTTGGCGGGAATAATATTTGTCTCGAATTGAATTTGTTTGACTTTGTCGAGAGGATTAGTTTCGCGCGCGATAGTGATGTTTGTCTGTGCGTTGGCCGGGAATAAATATTTTCCACGCAAGTCAAGGCAAACGGGGATTTTATTGATTGTTGAGCTCCATTGTTCTCAAATGCAAACAATTAATGACAAAATCGATTCAACGCTAGGTGTTTTTCTTCTCCAGTCCAACACTCAAAGGAAACAATATCAATATTTAATTAATTCCAAAGCCCGGTTCCAAAAATATTTTGATAAAATTTGATCCAGAGAGCGAAAAAATTGCAAAATTATATCCAAGATAGAAATTTCGTTTCATTAAGTTTGTGACAATTTTTTTCCCATTATAAGAAATCTTTTATATTTAAAAAATATTTGTTTTAAAAAATGTAAAAAATCAATAAATTATGTGAAAAATTTGATAAAATTTATCCCTATAGCAGAGTAGTCAAGTTTATGGTGTCAAAATGGCCCTCGGCGTTCTGAGACGACCCTAAAAATCTAAAAAAAAATTATGATTTATTAATTTATACTTGTGGCCAAATTCTTCTCATCATGATTATTTAAGCATTAATTATTTTAGTTCATTATTTACTCCCTCAAGATTGTGCTAAAATTTGATCAACTTTTAATAAACATTAATTAATAAAAATTAATTTAACAAAAATCATCAAAGCTTTAAATTTAATCGAATTTTCCGTCAATTTTTTTTAAACTCGGGAGCAAATGTATATTAAACTAGCTAATTTTATAAATAATTTCTCCTTTTTCTGATTGATGAGTTTCATTTCATTCCCCAAGAATTTTATTAAAAAAAGTAAAAAATTTGCTTTTGAATTTAAACTTTTGATTTGGCGTGAATGTTGTTGTAATTTTGCACTTTGGAGTGCGATCGCGTTGCCTTCCGGCCTTGCTCGCTCGCGGGGTAGAATTTCGTGGGGAGGGAGGGAGAGGGGCGAGCGACGCCTTTACTTATTGCGCAGTACTTTTCGATTTGCGCCAAGTTTCGGATCCACTCCGGTATATTAATCCTTTGCTAAAATCATAACCGCTCCGATTTTGTTCCTTCTCAAAATGTCGTGTCTATTTTAGGAGTAAAGTGTAATTAAAAGGGAGTGTTTCGCGAAATTCGCGCAGGCTGGCCAAGGTCGTGGTTGGAGCAGCACGCGACCGACCGCGACCACTCTCTCGTTTTACTCGCACGCCCCATCGATTTTCGCCAAACTCGGCGCCGTTCTTACTTGGGCTCGTGGCCGGAAACTCTCCTATTTTGGGAACAAGTTTATTTGATGCCATTCAAATTTCTTTGAGCTGCTACCAGAAATATTCATCGATTTCTTATTTAAACAAGGAAGAAAAAGTATTTTTTATTTTTATAATTTTTATTGCTCTGCGTTGTATCAAATTGGTTTTGCTTCAAAATTAACGAAAAAGTCTTTTTAATCAATACAATTTTAATTTATCTCTAACACTCTTAACCACCTCTTAGCAGCTATTTCATCATGGGATTTTTAAAATTCTCAAAAAAATTTAATTTTATAAAGAAACTTTTTCAAAACCTTCAATCAGCTCTTGTTTTACTGCAATTGTTTTGAATTTTTATTTTTATCCTTTGTTAAAGTTCAGTGTCAGTTTTTCAAATGTGAATTAAACATTTTGTTTTTAAATGAGTGATTTTAATAGGTTAAAAGAAAATGATTGTTAAATTTTGCTGAATTTGGTTAGAACAAAAACAGATTTATTTTAAATACTCCAGGGATTACTTTTTTTAAAATTACATTGGTCCAGTTCAAAATATGTTGTTTTAAAACATTTTTTTTTTTTTTAATAATGACCTGAAATCATGTTTATGAATCCCTGTTTGATAATTAAAAATCAAATGATCATAATCTAGCTAAACGCTCAGAGTCACATTTTCAAATTACTCGACTGCAAAATTTTTTCTTTTAAAAAGAAGTGGAGAAAATAAGCTTTTTGTATCATTAGTGTACCAAGAGGCAATAATTGCCATTTTAAGATAATTATGAACATAGGAAATAATAAAAAATTAAGAAAGAAACGAGGAAAACTCATAAATTTTTCAGAAAGCTGTTCAAGAAGATGGAAAGAAATTTAATAAATTTACATAATTCAAATATTAATTAATGAAATTATTATTAAAAAATAAACGTCTATCTAAACATAGTTTCCGTCACGTTCTGCAAATTTCCAAAGCAAGAAACAAAATACGGCAAATCAACAAAATTGAAAACCCGTTTTATTAACCAAAAAATTTTTTATCTTACAATTCTAACAAATTTCATGAGTAAATGCACTGCTCGCTGATTATAATTTTTAAACATTTCTCATTACTGAGAAATTTGAATGAAACGCAATTTGACTCGGGTCACTGAGCTGTGCTTAAGAATTTGCTTGAAAATGCGCTTGTCGTGCGAAACCTGATTGATTGTGCGTGTGTTTGTGTTGCAGTTTCCGAGAGCCGTTTTGCAGGAGAGAAACATGAGTTGCAGTGTCGCCGAGTGACTTTGGATCGGGCCGAGTTTTGAGCGGCAGAGAAAGCGCGTCTCCGCCCCGCACCCTCGCCCGTCCCGGTCTTTGATGCTAAATCTACGACTGGTGTCGACGCACTTCCTGAAGCAGCCGTAGGTGCGGCCCACCCGCGCCACGGACCACCCATTCAGCCTCTCCGTCCTTTGACAAATTATTTTGACCGAAGACAACTCTCGAGCAACATGTGCAGGGACCGCGATATGAACCTGCTCGGACCCTGAGACCGGACAATTGAAACTGAAACCTTCTTTCTGCCCCCGACACACCGAATCCACCATTAAGAGAAGACTGGGTTGTTGCATTTCGCCACGGGGTGGTGGCATCGACGAAGAACAACGCATGAGACGCCCAGGAACATGCGGTGGCTCACAACTGGTCAGTCGCCAATTTTTTATGTTTTCCAAAGCCTATAAAATTATTATCAATAATTAATTTTAAATTGAAAAAAAAAATAATAAAAAGTGATTTCATTTTAGAGGATGGCAAAGTTGTGTCTGCAAAATGAAAATTTCTGGGGGGAAAAACGTTTAGAGCCTTTGTAAAGGTTGTCTTTTTGTGTGGATAAGTTCTATTTTTTCATGGATTTCAATTTCCAAAAAAAGATGAAAAAGAATATATAAGTTCTCAAGGGTCTGCGGACAAAACTTCAGCGCCCTTTGATGAAGGCCAAATTAAATTATTTCTGATTGTGAGCTTTAAATTTACAGATTTATAATAAAAAATGTTTTGTGAAAATAAGGGCAACGTTTAATTTTCTTTTCAAATTAGTTAAATTTCTATCTTTTTCTCTATGTTTGAAATAAGAAACTTTCAAAACGTACAAAATCAAATTAAATTCGATGATAGTTTTTGTAACGATTCACGCAATCGCATTACTTTTATCTTGCATCACGCCTTCCTCTTACCTAATCGGGTATAATGTTCAGATTGTGTTACATGAAAGTTTGCTTACGCGTTCGGTTGTTGTTCTTTTTTTCTCAGAGCCCTGCCGAAAGCGCGCTGAGCAGGGTGCGACGCCTGCTGAGCAACTCGCTGCCGGGCCGGCGAACGGCCAACAAGACGATGGGCGTGTCCCTCGAGGAACTCACCGCCCGGCCAGACGCTCAGGACGGCGTGCCCTTCGTCGTCCTCCGATTGTGTTCATACATTGACTCCACAGGTATATACTTGCGCCACCATACACATGTTTCGCGTGCCAAACAGCAATTTTATCGAAAAAAATTTCAACTTTTCTAATATTCTTTGACAATTCAAGATTATTGTATAAAAGTTCACAAAAATCTTTTAAATAGAGAATTTCTTAATTGTTTTAATTTCCAAATTGTTTTTATCAAAGTGAACTGAAATTCAAATTAAGTTTTTATGATATTTAAATTATTTATAGTGTAATTTTTTTTTCATTATAATCTTAGAACAAAAAGCACTTTTCAATATAAAATGTTTTCCAGGATCAAGAATTTCTATAAAAAGTAATAAATTTATTTTCTTTTATTTAAAAAAAAATCGCTAAAACTTGTCTTAAAACTTGTTTAAAATATTAAAAAGTAATAAAATTCTCAATTTTTGTGCAAGATAAAAAAAATCCAAAACAAGCCACTTTTTTATTTCATTTAGTTTAGAAATAATAAATTCCAAATAAGCGATTTTCATCAAATTTAAAATTTGAATTTTTCAGGGGTAGGATGGTCGGAGCTGTGCGAGTCGCCGAGCAACGAGAAGTTGATCGAGAGCCTCAAGTGCACGTTTGAGCGGACGGGGGACGCCGATCTGGAGGCGGTCGCCACCCCCAACGCGGCCGTCGCGCTGCTCAAGTGCTTCTTGCAGCAGCTGCCGGAGCCGCCCGTCACCGACTCGGCCGCCCTCGACCTGCTCAACCTCGTCCAAGGTCTGCATTTTTACTTTTTCTAATTAATTATTTTTACAAATTTTAATTGGTGCAGAAAACTCGAGCGACTGCTCGCAGGAGGTGCGCAAGATTTTGAGCGCCATGCCTGAGGCCAACCGGCGCCTCGTGCGCCACGTGGCCTCGTTTCTGCGCAGGGCGGCGCGCAGGGACGCCAAGAAGCGTGCGGACGTCGAAGCCCTCGGCAGCGCCTTCGGGCCCTGCCTCTTCAAGTACGACCACAACCCGGCCGGCCAGAAGGTCTTCGGCGCCGTCGCCGCCCAACTCCTCCTCGACTTCCACCTCATCTTCCCTGAGTGTAGCGACGACGGACTCGCAGGGTAAGTCAAACTTTAATTGAAAAGATCTAAATTTTAAGAATTTTGAAGATTATTTGATTTTCTGTGATAAAGTTTAATGATTGAAACACCGTTGGAAAGAATTTTCAGGAAACACAGAAAAGCTAAAGTGATTGATGAATAAATTTTTGGGATGATTTTTTTCTTCAAAACGGGTTGAATGTCAAAATACGGTTTGTACGCATTTTAAAATGCACCATTTCTTTGGAAAGAGAGGAAGTGATTGTGACTAAAAAGATCATAGTCACCTTGAAATTTGTTGGGAAAACAACGATTTAAGGAATTCCGCAATCTCATTGGTCCAGTCATAACATTTAATTTATCTTATAAACATTAAGTGTGACACATTTTTGGAAAGGTCAGAATAAGACAAAACGACCGGTGACCAAAAGTTAAAAATCTTTTAAATATTTTAGAAAAGTATTTGAGACTTTCAGTTTATTTTCAGCATTTTTCGTTTTATTTATATTAAATTTAAAATGCTTGGTGCTTTTCAAGACACTTTTGTGGTCTCTTCGGAGGTTAAAAAGTCAATTAGCATTTTGGGTCATTCTCTATTCTTTTCAGCGTTTGTTTGTTTTCGTGAAATCGCGGCCGGTTTTTTTCCACTGTTGACACATATGACGGGGCGCGCAGACGAATTGTGATAATTGCCCAATTTCGAACGTGAGGCTTTAAATTATCGTCGCGCGTCAGGGCAACGCGGTGGCACGCGCTCGATAAGTGAAACACTTCGCGGCCACATCAAGAAACGCGCTAATTCACTTATTGCAGACGTGATTATAAGAGAGAGAAAGAAAGAAAGAAAGACACGAAGGCGCAAAGTGCCTTTCCGGCTATACTAATTCGCCACCAAAAATGCACGACGTGCTCTTTTATTAGTAAATTACCATTAAAGAAAAATTTAATTTTCAGAATTAACAAAGGAGGAAAAAGTCGATGAAACGTATAAAGTAATGAAAACATTTTAATTTATTTCATTTAAATATATTCTAGATCAAGCCCAAAAAACAGTAAATTTCATTATGAGAAATCTGGATGAATTGGCATTTTTTTAAATTTAAATTTAAAAATTGCATCATCTGAGTTCCTTTGACATTGAAAGGTTTGAAGAGCCTGAAAAAAATTGCAGCGCATCAATAAGAAAAAAGTCACTTTGCGCAATTGAGGATGTGCAAGTAATAATGACGTAAATCGGGGTATGATTCGCACATTTTGTGCTGGGAGGCAGGAAGGGAGAGCTAAATCGGTCGGCGCGTCGGAAAAGGAATTTCGCTCCCCTCGCCCGAGATCGGGAAGAGTGTTTTTGCCAAAAGCGTGACATTCGCGTCACCTTGCTTCGCGCGCGCCTCCGCCACCCCACCAGAGAGAGTTAAAAATAAACGAGAATCACTCGAAGGACCGCGCGGGATGAAAATATAACAACCGAGAAATCCAACAAGTTATTTAGATTTTCCATCCAATTGTTGATTATTTGGACGAGCGGCGGCGGCGGCGATTGATAAGCAGGATATGCGTGCGTGTTGTTGATAAATTGTGGCGCGCGAGCGGCCTTTGAAGGCTGCGGAAGCGCCATGCACGGCGGCACGTACTCCCTTTCTCCCCTGAGCGTGCACTCGGCCGCCGCATCGATTTTCGTGTTGACTGAAAATAAAATGGAGAGTGAATGAGAATGGCAAGTGCGCCCCTTGCTTTGATGCTGCTTTGTTTCTGCACAAAAAAGGAGCAAAACTGAAAACTCAATGAAAGTAGCAACACAAGAATTGTTAATTGTATTGGCTCATAAAATGGTGATTTCTTAAGTAACTTCAATTAAAACTTCTCAAACTTTTTCCATTAGATCTATGTAATTTTTATTATTTTGACCTATATATTTATTTTATTTTCCATCTTAATTGCGGTGATATGAACATGATTTGGTCAAATTTTTATCAACTTTTGTTGGGCCAAATTTTGAGAAAAAAAATTATTTTAGAAAATTTCCATAAGAAAAAATGTTAAATAAAAAAAAATCAGTCCTCCAAATGAATTAGATTTTTCTTACTTTTTCTTCTTGAAATTTACATCAACAAAGTAATGTAAATGTGGAGAAAATTATCAAAATTAATCGGGTTGTAATTTTGCGAAAGCCTATCCTTAAAAGGACAAAATTTTCATTTCAAATTCAAAACATGGTAATGTTATAGTACGCGCGACGTGTTTCCCAAAATCCCTGATTTCAGTTGGCATCACTTGCATTACGTCGCGCGTTTAATAGTGGTTTTACGTCGCGCATACAATAATGGTTTTACGTCGCGCGTACAATACTGGTGGCGGTGTAATTTTTAAGGAAACCGATTTTATTTCCCGATTACCACGGAAACCTCTATAGCACGCGCGACGCAATTCTTTTCCTACAATCTTAATTAAGGGGACTGCTAGGAAGAATAGGGGCCCTTGGGATGGGTTCAGAATGGGGCAAGACGACCTCCGTAGGGCCGTGCGCACACTTATAGCAGGCGCGACGTATCACTATGGGACGCGCGACGGTAGAAAAGCGAACTCCAGAGGGCGCTTTTCACCATCGTCAGAGGCGCGACGCATGGTTATAGGACGCGCGACGTATGCTTATAGTACGCGCGACGCATGCTTATAGTAGGCGCGACACGCACGGCAAATTAATTGAAAGGTGTTGCACGCGGCCGGAGTTGTGAGCGCCCCACGAACCGGCAACTCGGAGGTGGGCAACCCCCAAGATTAATTTTTGCAGAAGCCGCGAGCGAGGGGTGGAGGCGCAGCGAGGTCGAGGACGTGGGGAAGGCCGTGCGGAGGGCGAGGACAAAAGGGCGGCTGTGTTCATGAGGGGGCTCCGCAGGAGCCCCCTCACGAACCCCGCCCTTTTGTCCCGCCCGGAGCCGGCCTTCACCACGTTCTCGGGCGAGCGCGCCTCCAGCCCGAAGCTCGCAAACCCACAACGGAGTTGCTTACAAAAGGAATTGTCTGCAAAAAGGGCTTAGAAAGCAAAAAGTGTGTTGCCCACAACTCCCTTTGCAGACAACACCTTTTGTGGGCAACTCCGTTGTGGGTTTGCGAGCTTCGGGCTGGAGGCGCGCTCGCCCGAGAACGTGGTGAAGGCCGGCTTCGGGCGGGACAAAAGGGCGGGGTTCGTGAGGGGGCTCCTGCGGAGCCCCCTCATGAACACAGCCGCCCTTTTGTCCTCGCCCTCCGCACGGCCTTCCCCACGTCCTCGACCTCGCTGCGCCTCCACCCCTCGCTCGCGGCTTCTGCAAAAATTAATCTTGGGGGTTGCCCACCTCCGAGTTGCTGGTTCGTGGGGTGCCTACAACTCCGGCCGCGTGCAACACCTTTTAATTAATTTGCCGTGCGTCGCGTCGCGAGTACTATAATCGTGCGTCGCGCGTACTATAATCGTGCGTCGCGCGTACTATAAGCATGCGTCGCGCGTACTATAAGCATGCGTCGCGCGTACTATAAGCATGCGTCGCGCGTCCTATAACCATGCGTCGCGCCTCTGACGATGGTGAAAAGCGCCCTACGGAGTTCGCTTTTCGACCGTCGCGCGTCCCATAGTGATACGTCGCGCCTGCTATAAGTGTGCGCACGTCCCTCCAGAGGTCGTCTTGCCCCATTCTGAACCCATCCCAAGGGCCCCTATTCTTCCTAGCAGTCCCCTTAATTAAGATTGTAGGAAAAGAATTGCGTCGCGCGTGCTATAGAGGTTTCCGTGGTAATCGGGAAATAAAATCGGTTTCCTTAAAAATTACACCGCCACCAGTATTGTACGCGCGACGTAAAACCATTATTGTATGCGCGACGTAAAACCACTATCGAACGCGCGACGTGATACTTTTACATGGGAGCATAAGTGATGCCAACTTATGAAAAAACACGTCGCGCGTACTATAACATTACCCAAAACATTGATTTTTATGCAAACATTTAAATCAAAGTTGATTTAAAAAAATTTTAAATTCAACTTGCAGCTAAAAAGCATAGGAGATTTTAATTTTTTTTATATTTTTTTTCTCATTTTCTTCTCTTAATTTAATGTAGAATTCTGTAATTTCCAAACCCTCTGTATTCAACCACAAGGTAACATTTTAAGCATTTTTTTTATTACGAAATAAAAACATCAATAACATCATCACCTCTTGCTTTGGAATTTGATTTCTGCATTTTTTTTATGCGCGACAAATTAAATATAGACGTGATGTGACGCCTTTTTAACTGCCGGCGAGTTCGTCGAACCCTGAAAAGTGCATAGCAGTCGATTTTCGAGGGCTACGTGCCGCCGCCAACGCATTCTATGATAATTGCAGTTGTTGCGAGAGAGCCCAAGTAAACACGAGAGTGACGCACGCGTCGCCGCCGCTTTTTTTAGAAGTCGCTGGCATAATCGTCGCTCATTTGTTTGATCTCGGCGACGTTCACCGGATGCATCCCTGCAATGAAATCACCAACAGCCACGGCCTGCCCCAACACAAATCTCAAATCTTCCGCCCAGAAATATTTGCACAAAAAATATGGAAAGCAGAAAGAATGAAATAACCCAGACTGAATTCAAAGTTCGAAATTACCGAAATTAATTCAAAATTACTTGATCTTCGGATTGATCTTGCGGAATGCCAATTTGAGGGACAGTCCGGCCCTGGCTCAAAAGTCAAGTGTTGTTTGTGCGGATGCTGCCAATTGTTTCCACACTCGGTGGGTTAATTTTACTTGATGAGCGGATTATGGTGCAGCGAACTGACTTCGTACGACAAATCTTTGATTTCGCTTATCTTTTTTTCAAGCTCAAGTCTGGAAGTCGCGCGTTTGTTTATTTGTTGTGAGTCACGCGTTTGTCTGCATTCGATTGTGTGCAATTGGGTCAGTGTGAAGATAGATTTGCCGCCGCTTTTCGATTATCGTTGAGTGATCAACCGTAATAAAAGGTCGTTTTGTTTGTCGGAGCGAGAAGGAAGACTGGACGCGCTTGATAA